ACGCAGCTGTTAAGCCTTTTCCGTTTCCGTTGGCCTTTTTTATGTGTGTGCGGCTTACTTGGACTTGGCGCCTAGAGGGTCGACTTCTATTGATAGCCATTGACAGCACACACACACACACACACACACACACACAATGCCGCTTCGGGCCAGCGAAACGGAAATGAACATGGGATTTCATTCAATTTTTTATTCGTACATGCTTAAGAGTGTGTGCACAAAACGTATTTTGTGTAGCTTTTGGCCTAGCGAGCTATCACTTTGTGCCACAATGTTGACTATTGCTGGCAGCTTGGCAATTTTCTGGTAATTACAGATAGGTGTCTGAATGCTGTCTGTGTGCAGGTGAGATAAAAGAAAACCCGACATTAAATGGTGCCATTAAAAGCAATGACAATAGGCGAGGCTCGACAGAAATTTACTAGATAAAACTGAAGCTCTATTAAAGTGTTAATATCTCAACAAAAGTTGTGGACATTTTGACATTGGAGAAAGTGCTATTTTATCAATTAATGATAGGTTCATACTTGTTATTATGAATACCTCCTCCCTGATTCCTGCACCTTAACTGGCTGAGACATAAAGACAAACGAAATTAAGATGCCACAAGTGCTTATTTTATTAATTGGCACAACCGAACCAAATGAACAGCCATATAAAATTGTCATAACTGGAAACGTATTGTGACATTTCCAATAAACAGCAAAAATGGAATTGGCAGCTGTGTGCTGCTGCTGCCCGGCTGCGGGTGGGGAATACTGTAGTTCGACTATTTCTAGTTAATTTACTGCGAATACAAAGCGCCCAATATGCAACATAAATAATGCTGAGCATTTGACATAAATAACTAAGGATGGCACAATTGCCAGAACTTTCCTCCAACCGACCGACCTCCCATCTAACCCCACTCTGGAGTGTCACAGCTGCTGCTGCTGCTATTGCTGGATGCTGCTGGATGCTGGCTGCTGGCTGCAAACGCTCTGTAACTGTTACAATTAATTAGAAACTAACAAAGTTCCACTTGCCAAGGCGCTAAACTTGTCCCAGCAGCCCGAACCGAAGACTGTCGCGCACATAAAGCGCTTTTAATTGATTTTCCCGTTACGTGCAATGGCAAATTGTCGTCCTGCGGCAGCTAACTCCTGTCAGTGTTAGAGAGGAGCGCGTGCCGCCCGCTCATTCGTGTCACGAAAACACACGAATACGCTTTGTTCGTGTTAAATAAGAACCCGATTGCGTGCGTCGATTAACACTTTACGGGGATTGAATGTTGAAAACGCGACCTTTGCAGATTCAAAGGATCCCTATAAGTAGCTGATGATAAGCATAAAATATATCATATATATGGTTTAATTTTGTGGTACATATTTAGTTAAGATATGGTCATACCTTTTATATAAATAATTTATGCAATCAAGATGTATTATTAGCAAAAAATTTTATCAAAACTCGTCCAGGAAGTTTTGTAAAAATGATCGTACATATTTTGAACTCTCATATGGTCACACCTTTTACAATTTTTTTTATATATTCAGTACATTAATATAATTTGTACTCTTAAAAATGAATGGAAGATTTATATAATTAACATACATTAAAATATATAATGAAGTACTTATTAAAATAAATGTATTGAGATGAAATTTTTTTGGACTCTTAGGCAACTGGCTACTAGTGTTATTTAAAAGTTAATAATATTATTTTTATATATATTTTTTTTTTTGCCAACTTTGCTTACATATATTTAAAAGTGATATTTAAAATAATGCACCAAGTATTTTATATATGAAAAAATGTATTTAAGAAAGTAAAATATGTTTTCGTGCTAAGTCAAGAATTGGGTTTCATATTCGTTTCATATCAATACGCGTCCGTCCGTCTCTAGTTTGGGGGCAACAGCTGTTACCGTCTTACCCACCGACCACGCCCACAAAGCAGTCTCATCTATACGCCACAATGGTACTGGCAGCTCCGGTAATCGTTCATTCATTCATTCGAATTGTAGTTAATTAATAAATTATTCCATGCGATTGAACTAAGAAAGGCAAAACTTTAGCATGAGTGTCGTCTCTGCCAACTGGACTTTAATTGCCCTCCTCGCCACACTCCTCATCAAGTCCAGCACCCTGCCCGCTTGTACTGAGCGGACTTTTTTCCGCACCATACGCATATAAATTACATTTTTTGCAATTAAACACATTTTGATGTTAAGTGCGAAACACAGAGAGCTGCACGAAAATGTTTACGGCCCGCACATGTTGCGTATACGCAATGTGCTAAGCTCGACACTCGTAAATGGCGCGTGGTCGTGTATTCCTTACACTGTTTAAGAGATATAACCCGAGGTATTAACATCGTGACCCTGCATTGTAGTAGAGCTCTGTTTTCTCAATAAATTACATTTTCATTTTATTTTATGTCCATTTTGAGGTCTGGATGTGGGTGGACTTCTCCTCCAACCCCCCCCTCCATCCCATTGCCCCTGTGGACTGTTGGTGGATCAGGTGTGCCGCACATATTGGAAATTTATTAAAACCGTAAAATAACTTTGCGAATTTCTCGCGCTTTTATGCGTGCTGCTTTGTGGTAAAGTTAAAATTAATTTTGTGGCTTGCGAATGTTGTTAACATTAAAGCGAATATTTTGTTTCAAGAAATTAAATGCATTAAATTTTAATACAGTAATTAAATGACAATATCACATTCAATCAATTAAAATGTTTAACTCTGTTCATGGTTGGGCTTTAACTGACCCTTTGTATATCTTTTGCTCTTTCGCTTTTGTTCATACTCTCTCTTCACATAAGCTTTGGACATTTTCAAGAAACTAGAATCTGGTTTCTTCCCTTTCTGCCAACTTTAACTAGTTCTTTTTCTCGCGAAAGTGAACTCAGGCCCATAAATCCCATAGCTCATTATTGGAGCATGCTTCAACAATGTTAACTTAAATAACTAACAGCTTTTTATTTTGATAGTTTTCTTTTCGACTTTGCTTTTGACGTTTTAAGAAATCAACTAATTCAGTCCAATCGATGTTTTGTCAATTGATTGAATTGAGGTTTTCAGCTTGATTCCCAGATGTCGGCGGCTGAGCTTGATAGTTTGTAACTATTATTATTTTAAAATCGATTTGTCACTTTTAATTATAATGTAACCTTTGTACACATGTACACTAAAAATGTTAAACGCCAAATGTATTGGCTCAATTATGATATGTTCCTCTAGATTGTGGTCTGTAGTTATGCGAATTAAAAGTGAAACATAAATATTTAATTGCAAATCCAGCAGTAAGAGCACTAAAAGTCATGAAAAAAAAAAAACAAAAAGTTACGAATTGCACAACACTGACGCACACAGTGTGCACAAATTGCATTAAACCAAGAGGCAGCCAGATGAAAAATACAATTTTCATAAAAAGTAATTGAATAAACAGCCAACAACATCTAGAAATAGAGGAAATTTCAATGCTCTGAACCGGAGACGAAGCAAAAGGCATTAGCAACAGATTAGTGTCAAGCTTTGAGGAACCGGAGCAGTCATATAGGATTGCATTTCCCATACCAAATCTTGCACAGAATCCAACTCTAAGCCGGAGTCGTTAGCAATGTGACCCAGAAATGAACTAAGCCACATCAAAATTTATGCCATTTGCTGCAATAAATTTAATTAAAAAAAAATCAAGTTGACAGAAAGTGCACCCAAAAACTTGGCCACTTGCCGCCACAGTCACACACACAATTTTTTGAGGCCTGCCCGGTTTGTGTTTTGCGTCCAGTTCTAATAACCTGCAGGCAATGGTTCCAGTTATCCGATTTTATTGCACTGCATTTTATGCATAGTTCAGAGTCAGGCCTCTGTCTAAAAAAGAAAATGAAATGATTGTCAATTATTTTTTCAATTGCGTTTCTTTGACCAATCATAAAAATCAATTGCTCGGCTCTTGGTTTTCAGCTTTCATTGCTGTCCTGCAACGCATCCTTCTTCGACTTTTATGAGCGAGTTACTTGCAGTTAATTAGAGAATGAAAGTGCACGGCTAATCAACTGAAAGTTGTTCACAGAGCTCAGCTCGCAGGGCGAAGGTGTTGTCTGGCCATCAAGTAGCTAGCGATGGCGTCGATAAGTCAGCCAAGCCATATTGAAGCGGAAATGAGAAAAAAAACGAAGAAAATGAAGAAGCAAGCGCAGGGACTGCCATTGTGGGCGATAATCCTAAATGATTGCCCCTGCTGATGGCTTTTATGTTCTGGAAAAGGGTTGGCTAGACTCCATATCCGCTAAAAAGGCAATCGATTAAACCAAGTGTTAAAGTGCGAAAATTAACTCACGGCATTTTGTATGAAGTATTCGTTGGGTCTTGTGCATGTGTAGAGGCGAGACATAATATTGTCTTGCTAAAAATTTTTTCTATTTTAAAATTAGTTGTGGCAGAATTCTTGCTTAGACTTAGACTCTTCACTTTTCTATTGAATACCTTTAATAGGTAAATACCTTTTGAACAAAGCAAAGCTGCCAGTAAACGTTTACAAGTGTCTCACAAAGAAATTAGTAAATTTTAAATTGTTAAAACGATTAAAGATGTCGCACAATGAGGAAATAGAAAATCGAACAATTTCCAGAGAACGAATGAAAAAGGAAGAGATAGAAAAACAATATTGACAGTTAGTTAAACGTGAAGTTAAATAAAGGGCCTGTTTTTAAGTTAAACGAAATGTTTTTCTTTTAATAAATAAAAACCATTGCCACAAACGATTAAGGATGTCGCGCAAAGAAGAAATATAAAATCAAACATTTTCCAGAGAAACGAATGAAAATATAGAAATGTTAACAAGGTATTGACAGTTAGTTAGACGTAATGTTTAGTGGGTCTGATCTTTAGCTAAATGAAGATTCATTCTTTTAGATTGTCTTGATTTATGACAATATGCCTTTAAGAGACACAAATAGTAAATAGTTAAGTTAAAAGCCTGTAACACTGAAAGTGACTAAAATAATAACAATATTTAAATGTTGCAAATTTCTAATAGAACCTGGTCAGATGCGTGTATTTTAACTATAATTTAGGTTTCTAGAACTTTGTAATACCAATAATTTACAATTAAAATATTTACACCAAAAGCGCGTTTACAAGGTGCGCATCTTTTCCAAAAAGCTATCGATAAACTGCATTTCCTTCGTGTTCAGACGCTTCACCTGGTGAACGCATTCTTCATAATTTTTCTCATCGTTGAGGCGCTTAAAGGCGGCAGCCCGATAGAGCCAGGCGCGCATATATTTTGGATCCAGTTTATTTAATATATAGTCACAATCCATAATGGCGCGTTTGAAGGAGCGTAGTCTATAAGGCAAGAGTCGGATTATTTCACAGAAGAATGCTATCGAAACGTAGAGTCCATTTACTTGAGATAGCAACAGGCGCGATTTATATATAGAACGGGCGTATCGCAAATATTCTCCAAGCCCTTGTTGTAAAAATCAATGGCTGTGTTGAACTGTTCTCGGCGATATGCCCAGTTGCCCTGTCTAGGATAATTATAATAGATGTACATTTTTCGTCATCCTGCGACTTTCTTTTTTGTTTTTTACCCACCTGCGGAAACTGTTGGCTATCCGTTCACGCTCAAGGCGCGACTGGACGCGCTCCTCAGTACTTTGATCGAATTGCCGCATGAATGTGAATTGATTGGTATTTGTCGTGAACTTGATCCTTGCCTTCGATCTCTTAACCGACATACGTCCGGATAGCGAACGTTGAGAGATGAAAAAGTTGTTATCCGTAACTTCTGCACTGTGATCCACAACGGGCTTCGCCTGCTTTTTCTTGCCATCTCGTGTGCTATTCATATATATTCTGGCATATATATTCTGGCATATTATAGAATTAATTGTCTCTCACTTACTCTTCCATTTTGTTGGCATCCGCCATAATATCGAGAAATTGTATAGCATCTACCACTTTTGACGGTTCCTTAAGAAATTTTTCATCGTACTGCGGATGGTTTGTGTACTCCATAGTGTGGTTGACAGAACTTTATTTTGTTTTTTTTTTATCAACTATATTCTTTTTTTATTTTTTGTGCTTTGTTTTTTATTTTTATAGTTTTTTATGTGGTTTTTTATGTTTCTTATGTTTGTGTGTACTATTATAGTGTGATATGTTTTGTTTTGTTGGGTGTGTATGGGCTACTTGTTTTTAAATTCATATTTGCCTTATTGTTTTAAGGGTTACTATCCCAACTTAATACTTTTTTGATTCTTTTAGGAATTTTTCGTCCTTTCTTCTAGACGTCTGTTTCTTCATCGTTTCATCGTTACTATGCATATAAATGTGGTAAGTGAATTTAATAATTTATGCATATAAATACAATTTTACAATTTTACAATATTACAATACAATTTTACCCTCCAAAGCATCATTTCATTTTTTCAGTCTTCTTTATGTCACATTCTTAAACTTTTTACATAAGCATGCTCTTATTGATACACAGATGTTATCTCTCTTCATCTCAATATCTCTCTCTATTGAGAGAGCAATGTGTTATTTCATTTCCTTTTGTGCGTCATTCTCTAACGTTTTGAATAATCACTCAATTCTTGATTGTTGGCCTAAAAGCTATTCGTAAGCCATTTATCTGCCCGATTAGTTGCCTGAACTTAAATTTGCGAAGCAATTAATTTATTCGGTTTTACGTTTATTTATTTATTTTTCCTTTTAATGTAAAAATCTCTTTAGCTGCTCAATTTGCAATCGTGCTGCAGGTGCTGTCGCCTGCCGCACTTATCGCAAAATTATTTTTGGAGCAAGCGACTCTTAATTTGAATTAAAAATGCATCAATGCGCTGATTTTAATGCACACAATTAAAACAGCAAGTCAGGAAATTGCGAAAGCATTTAAAATCCATGGGAAAATCAGATGAGCGAATTCAATGAGCGATTGCAAATTGCGAATCGCGGTGCCAGGATAAGCCAACAACAGCAATAACAGCGTGGAAATTTGCAGAAAATGCATATAAAGAAATTGTGACGCAACAAGCTAATGTGCTAATGCACACACACGAACACACACACACGCACACACACACTCATACCCACTCAAACACTTTTCTCCCCCTATTTGGATGCGTATGTGAAGGCTGATGCTTAAAAGTTTTACACGCTAATCGCTAATTGCTTTTAAAGACAGTGTTTGGGTTCGCGGATGCTTTTGTTTCTGGTTGATGGAGTGCCAGGGGGGGGGGGGGTGACAGTGGGGGCGACATGAATGGGGAGCTCTACCCTGTAATTGTCGCTCTTTAAAATGCGCAATTTGCAATGCAAATGTACGCATAAGTTTTTAGCGCCAACAGCCAACAGATGGCGCCAGCCCATGCCAAAGAATAGCGTGTTGGAGATATTTAAGTGTAAATGGGGGTTTGGAGCGTGTTTGATGTTGGGGATCGAATGTGTTTGGGTGTTTGACAACAGCTTAGCACCCAATCAATTAAAATATTTTGTGAATACTCATTGACTAAATGCCATCCAGTCGATAAATAAAGCAAAATGCGAATTAGAAATTTGAGACGTTTTATTTTAAATGCAAGATAGGCTAGCAATCATTATAAGCTCATATATAGTAATGCGTATAATATTACTAATGTACATATTTTTTTAAAATTAACTCTACAATTATCCTGTCCTTTTCTTATTACTACTCTTTAACTAAAATCTTACGATCAATGAAGTAGAACAGAAAGATAATTATTATAGAATCTCATTATATGTGTAGATTTTAAGCATTTGGTCCTGCTGGGTTGTCAATACACACACATACACTCAGAAACACACAGGCACGCAAAGTAAATGCAGCAATTAGTTGACTTAACTTCTATGACACACAATTGGCAATTTATTAAGGCGCAACAAAAGCATGGCGGCAAGGAAATTGAGTGTCCTTGCCAAGCAGGGATTTATTTATGGTTCATAGATTAAATACTAATTAACACTACGCAACACCAGCAAAGGCCAAAAACACACGCACACACACATAAGCACACACATTTGATTTATGCCAAATGAATGCAGAATGGCCGCCATCTCTGGGTCCCTCTCCCTCTCTCTTTGGCGTGTGTGTCCTGTAAGGATTAGGAAGCAGACAAAAACAGAAAAAAATTCACAACAGAAAACATTTGCCTGGCCGTTTTTGTCTGGGCCATTGACCACTTTTTGAAGAGGGGCTGGACACTGCGTCTGGTCTGTGCTGCGCATCCTTAGCTTAATGCCATAAATTGTGCTTAAATTATTGGGGTTGGTTAACACTTAACTACACACACACACACACACACTCATTAGGCATTTTCTCTTTTCTTTTGGTGTATTTGCTTAATGTTCCGTTGAACTTTTGCTGCTCATTTGCTTTACCGTAATAACCACTTGACCATGCTCGCACAGCCAATATTCGAACTAGAGTTCAAAAAATAAAGACACTGCGCCAAATTGGACTTGATTGTAAAAGGCAATAAAGCAAATAAAAACATATATATAAACTTGATCAGCATTTTCAAGCCTATTTTGTGTAAATATCGATTTCTGATCTAATCTAAACATAAGATAGAATTAACAAGATTTAACATTAATATAAGATACAAGGAAGACATTTATGTTTATTCTATCTGTGTATAAAAGAGTTTGTCCTTACTGACTGACTAAAGTTTCCTTGTGGGTTGAAAGTGGGGGGAAAATGTGGGAAAATGTGTATGAAAATATCAGAAATAATGCAGCCATATATGTTTGCCTTCGAAACGTGATGCCATGCGTTTGTGTGGCTGCGTCGGACCCACTAGCGAAACGCCGCCAGTTCAATTTGAAATATTTATAAAGGTTTAATTAATTAGTTAATATACAGAAACAGAAAAGTAACACAACAACAAATGAACAATGAATGTAAGTTAACAAAAATGATTAAAATTTTTCTTTTGTTTTATGAACTATTCAAATTAACATGATTATATATCGGTATAAAACCGAACTAGTGCGGCTTACAACTTTACTCTCTTGCCAAAGGCGAACGTGTTCTCGAAAAATATGTTCGCCTGGGCTCGCAGATTATAAGCATACATTGTGGAGTGTGTGCTGCGGTAGGGGTAGGGAAATCTCAATACAGGGGTCTATTGCATTGTTTTCAGAGTCTTTTGTATGTAAATCGTTGCGTATTCAGGCTGCAGTCCCTCTGTTTCAGCATGGAGTCGAGTCTGTGAAATTTATGTGTCTGCGTGTCATGAGACCGCGCATAAAAAACGGCACCAGCATCAAAATCTGTCGGGCATAATCAAGCGAGACAATGCGCCAACAATCCCCATAAACTGTGCTCCATGGTCCGCACGATATGAAGGTGGATATAGGTTTGGGTGCGTTGATTAACGCCGGCCATAGCCCAAAAGACAACTCGACTAGGGACCGACTGTCATTTATTTGGATTCGCTTGACACGAGCGTTGATTTTAATACCAGCTTTACGCTTAAAGCATGCATTAAAATGAGCTTTAAAAACGCTGAAAAATTAATTGCAAATTTTTAAAATATTATTTTACGAGTCGACTGAAGTGGCCAATGCAGAACACAGCACGGGCAAGCCATACAAAATCACTCACACATTTTATGAATAATTAACTTATAATTTTAACAAAATTTATCAAGCTTTTGTCTGGACTGTATCTTTTTAAAATATTTAAAGGAATATTATTTGTGGTGTTCTTAATAAACAAAGTTAATTAATGACAAATCTTAAATTTTCTTTGTTAAACAATTAGATATATTTTTTTAAAATACTACCAAATCTTTACATTACATATATTTAAACAATTTTTAAGGAGAATCTTGTGAAAAGGTTTATATCTTATTCCTACCTCTGTCCTTAAAAACGTTTAAGAATATGGCACAAAGAGGAATTGAATCAAATTTAATGCAAAAGCCTAAGCCTAGGCTAAAGGTATGTCATTTTTAAACCATCCATTGGTAAATGATTCCAAATTATTTCCATTGCATTAATTAAACGCACTGCAAACGTTGTACTAAGTGTTTAAGTCCGCGAATTAAAATTCTTTTTGGTCGATATGGGTTTGGGCCACACACATATTGCTCCCTCTCTCCCTCTCTCTCTCTCTCTCTCTCTCTCTCTCTCTCTCCGCTTTGATATTATTATAAAAAATGCAATACCAGTTGTGCATGTTTTTTTTTTACCACTTAATCGAATTAATTAAATTTTTATAACAATTGAACGGGCAACAAACAAAACCATAAAAGTCTGATATTCGCTGCAGCCCACAATAATAATAATAATATTGTGTCTTTACGTGGGCGTGATTTAAGTTCTATATTTATTTAAATTTAATTATAGAAGTAGTCAGTAATTCATATATGGTATAAAGTTCCACTCATGAAATCGAAGCGCATTTCAGTGCATTGTGAACTTTTTCATTTTACAAATTGCGGAGTGTGTGCTGGCTGGCTGTGTGTGTGTGTGTGTGTATGTGTGCATATGCACCCGCAATTAAGCAATAATAATAAGCATCATTAATAAATCATCACAAAAATGTTGCGCCAGTAACGAATCATACTAAATACAAAGAGTATCAATATGGAATTTTTTTTTTTTTGCAATAAAAGAATCCGATGTATGCTATTGATGGATGTGTGTGTGTGTGTGTGCCTGTGTGGGTGAGCATGTGTGTGGTTGAGTATTGTATTCGGGCGTTGAGCAGTCCAATTAACTTTTAAAACTCAATGCATGCCATTTTATTTAACATTTCCAAGCAAATGAAAAGCTCTATTGAATACACGTTTTCAATTCATTTCTAGAGCAGAAAAAACATGCCAATTGCCAATTCACAATTGACAGTCATATAATAAGCCCACCTTTCTACTGATTAAACACTTATTTCTTGGTATTTTGCAACTATTTCGAATCTTTGCAAACTGATTTTATTTGCCTGATTTGGGTCATTTTTAAGCTCTTGGTGGAGCGGAAACTTGTCGAAATTTAAGTCGAATTGGAGTTTTCCTATTTGTGTTTTATAATTTAGTTAATTGGATGGCACGATTATTGTCTTCAAAGAGATACGAAGAAATATATTAAACACGTTTCCAGCTTAAATATGCCTTTAAGTTTAAA